TTTCGTCCCTTGCCTCGCTGCAAATGCAACACGAAGCGCGACCCGGACTGCCGCAACGTTAAACTTTCGAAAAACACCGGCGCTCATTATCGCGTGTTATCTGCAACGGCATGAATGGGAACCGAAATCGAAATGAAAACGGCGAGAAGGTCATGCTCACGTGTCAGGAATAACACAAGCGTGGCGTTGACCCACATTGTTTTTGAAACGCGATTAAACTCATTGAAAACGACCGAAGGTAGATTAATGGCGTCGGGGCGCGTAACCGCGAAAAGCGGGGCAAAAAGCGAAACAAATTTAACGAGCTGTGAATTATGAAAATCGGTGACAGGCCGCCGCTTTTAAATGCTCTCTCGCGCTCTCTCCGACTCGCGCCCTGCTGAGTAGGTTCTCACTCTTTCTCTCTCACCAGTTTGGTTTGGGCGCGTGCCAGTGTGTGTTGAATCGAAACGATTCGAATGCAAAATAATAATAAAACAGTGGGGCTCGTGGTAGGTGGGTGCGGTGGGCGTCGGGGGTGGGAAAGCGGGTAGACGACAGAGAGGCGGGGTCGGCAGCGCATTAACGCAATTAACCTCCAATTAATAACACATCAATTGACACCCGGTCAACTTGTTGCATCAGAGCAGGCCGATAATATGCTGAACGCGTGTGAACCGTGTGTGTACATATACGATGGGCCGCGCCGTGTGAGTACCCCGACGTACGTTTTGCTTGCGCGTGTGCGCGTGTCTACACGTTTGCGCTTAGGCAAGACCACGGACGTGGCTGTGTTTGTGCGGTTGCGGATGCGTGTTACGGCTACGAAGTATGTCTATACCCCCTACATATCGTCGTAGGCGTAATGACGAAACGAATGTTACAATAATTTTTATATACCGGGAGGGTGAAGTCGGTACGTGCCTAAGCGTCGGGCGTGCGTGTATACACGATGGACATGGACTGATGACCACAGTCGAGTTCCCATGCAACCCCCTGCGAGCACTCTCACCACATGACACCTACAGGGGGTGGAATTCCGATGCACATGCCACTGCTGTGTTACCTCGACAACACCATGTGGGGTAGGTACACCATATGATGCTCACGTAGGAACTATCTTCCTTCGTTTCTTCGGTAGTTTCACGAGGGGGACTAAAAATTGTGGCATACACGAGAATATGTAGCGGAATATAAGCTCGAACGTTCATTTCAAAATTTGTTCGCAGAAGTTGCATTGATTCTTCTTGAATCGATATTCGACTTGCGATTTTTCATACGTCGTCATCTACTTAAAAAAACGATTACTTGTTGTAATATTACCTTGAAGTTCCATCGAGGGTTCCCCATGCGTTAACTATCCTACGTATTACTTGCGGACCCTATCACTATATGCACTATAATCACGCTTTGAAATCTACCCACCTGCTTAAATGGTAAATACGATATGACGTGCAGGAAATGGTCATTGGTGACTTGCCGATGTGTGTTTTTCTTGTACTTTAATAGTCTCACTGATTTTATATGATATATTGAACTTCAAGACGACTTTATGCTTAATATATTCAATTAACTTCTGTATATTTTTTTTTCGTACACCGTTCTCTCTCATTCTAAAAAAAAAAAAAAACAATTCGTATTCTAACATAAGAAATAAAGAGAAACTCTCATTTTTTAAGTTTAAATTTAAAAGTATCTACCAAAAATCGGTCGTCGGATACTAGTAGCAGTAAGACCCTGTGTATTTCCCCCGTGTTTGCCTTGGTGAACGCACTTCTCGTGTGTAATTAGCTCGTCGCGTCTACTTCCGAATCGACGCAACAGTGGGAGAGTTCCTGAAGCCATTTCCGGCAGGGCACCGGCACCTTTTTGTTTTCCCCTTCTCGTCCCACGCATGACGGCACACGGGGAAGTACCGATCAAAAACGGGAAAGACAGAAGTTCGTCTGACCCCCCTCGAAGCGTCCCTTCCTATCCAGGTACAATCGTCGTCCCATAGACCTTATCGAGGTCGACACCATATGTCACTTCTGGAGTAACGAGCAGCAAGCGCTGCACCCCTCTAAAGTAATTGCCAACGGAACTGCCTAGTAATTTCTCGGAACGAATCGCTCCTCTTCGAGGAAGCGGCCGAGAACGCGCTAACTTGGCGTAATTGAACGTTTACGTAATAGTGATTCAAGTGCGCAATGAGGACGTGGATGATACTTCAAATACACGCGCGTATTTGCTCGTATTTCAATAATCTGTCTTCCTGTTACGCAATTTGCAGTTCTCGGTCTTCAAGAAAGAAAAATGTGTTATCTTTATGATGGGGTATCGTAACTTTATTCAATATGCTTCATTTCTAATATCATACAAATATTGTATTATGCATGTATATGTATATATACGTATATAATACAATATTAATTTTCACAAAATTATTCAATATTTAATAAACGACAAAAATAAGGTGTTAATATTCGGTATAAACAAGCAACGATTTATCAGTTGACAAATTTATTATAAAAAATTCATAATTAAACACGAAACGTTTCGACGCTTACTGCAGTCCTCTTCAGTCTCAAATACATAAAGATATCAAAATACATATAACAAATCAAATAATCTATGAGCTTTAACTCAGATGTCAAATGTTCTCTCTTAGTCAATTATAGAATAATTGATTAATATTTAATATTAATTTTCATAAAGACTTGATCTCAATAAAGCAAAATAAATGGAGAAAAAAAAATATTTTATTTGTAGAATGCAATTTTCATTAAACTTTCTTTACTTTGTGACACCTCACGCATTGTTCTCTACAAGCTCTTTTGACTTCTTGATACGTATTGGAATGAATATCCAGATATCCTCGTACGCAGGGTGTTTATGCGTAGACGAACTATGGAATATTGTCGGCTTATTGAGCGCAGGTGCTTTAAACTGCTCAGCTGTTGCTTCGAATCTCGCGTACATGTACACAAACGCGTGTGTTCGTGCACTGTATTAGTACGTATTCAAGCTCTATACTGTAACGCATACATGCAACTACACAAACGTCTCACTTACGCACTTATACGCAGCGTCAATTGAACTGCATGACGATCGAAGCTTCTAACAGGCCGTACCATTGACGAATGAAGAGCGATTATTTGCACGCGTGGAGACTACAACAAAAAAGGTTTCCATTAAAATATTTCGTGCCGAGTAAATAATTGTAATAACGACAATAACGAAATATTTGTCGCCTCATTATGACTTTGTAATAAAGTCGGTAATAGCGAGCGGCAAATGTATGAACAAAATGAGGATATAAAGATCGGCTACATATAATATATAAATATAAAGGCGTAGAAGACTTTTATTTTTCTCATCCAAGCAAGCCAGATGGACCTGGTCTATGATCAAGCGAGCAATGAGTGGACTATCAATTACATTTTGTGCCCCCCTTTCTATCACCGGGTATATCGACCGACGACGGTATGTGTCTCCCGATGAAGACCATTTCTAGGCGGAACTGCTTATGTATCGAATAAGATATTCAACGCAAGTAATTTTCTTATGGTCGCTTCTCAGGCGAACCACCCCCTTCTTCGCTAACCCCCTCGGAAACTCACTATACTTTGAGTTTTTGCCTCTATCGGTCGCAGGGTGTTCGGACGAGGGTGAAACATATTGCTTGCAACTGTCACCCGTGGTCTGCTCTTCTTCTTCGTCGCCGCCGCGCCGTCGTCGCCCTCGCCGTGGTCGATCACTGTATTTTTAACCGATAACACTTCGCACTCCTTTCTCGTATTCTATCGTACCGTGACGTCATCTTGCATAAAATTAATGTATTTTTTTTCCATTGTCCACATTTTGAAAAATAAGAAATGTTTCCTACAAATTCAACTTTTAAGGATCTATCGTGAAATATATGCACTGAGAAAAAAGTTTACTAAATTTTAATAAATATTTCTTTAAATAGTTTTAGCGGAATATTTACTAAATGTAATTATTAGATATGTATTTATATTAGATACAAGAATCATTAATTTAATTCAATTATGATTACTTTTATTTATTTAAATACTCATATTTATTTAAGTAAATATTCCGCTAGGACCACATTTAAAGAAATATTTATTAAAGTTTAAGAAATTTTTTTCCGATATGTGTATGTTTAAACATAAGAGGTTACGATAAAATATATAATATTGACAAAAAGAGAGCGTATTACGTGCGTTTTTATTGTACGCACGTTTTTATTTTCTATGAAAAAAAATTTGCAAAGAACATATTATAATTACGAGGATTAATGATGCATCTGTAACAGATTCTCTTTCACCATTCTTACCGTATATTCGATTTGCGGTTAAAATAAGATAAGCTAATAATAAGAGGAAACGACAAGTGTACACACCGTGGAGTACTTCCTATCTACGGAAACGACGTTTCTTTCAATGCAACAGTCTATATACAGCGCTCAAAATACTCTACCGTGTGCTATTATCGTACCTCTGAATCGATTCTCTTATTATATATATATATAGACAAGCGATATTCGTTTAGCCGGCACAGATCGCTAAGATGAATTGTTGTCTTTTTATTTCAGACGGTGTATCGGAGAATTGAGGCCACGAAAATCGAGACGAGGGAGCGAGGGGCACTTAGCCCTTTGGCGAGCTCGAAGGATGCAGCTCCCAGGAGGGAGCACGAGAATTCCGCCCGCGAGAATACCGGCTTCCCTTCTGGTTATCATCAACGGGAACAACATCGCAACAATTACCGGGAATAAACGCATCGGTAGCAACAGCGGCGGTCCCGGTTACAACAATTACCGTAGCAGAAGTAGTAAGAAGCACGACAGCAGCGGATACAGACTCGATAACGAATCGAACCTTCCAAAGAAGACCCGCCATCTCGAGACGAGGGCGAACGGCCGACATCAAGTCACCGAGCAGCAGCCTCAGCCGTTGGCGTCACCTCTACGGCGGAAGGTGCGGGGCGAGGAATAGTGAAAAGAAAGCACAGAAAAAGCGAGGAACGACGGAAGAAGAAGAAGAGGAAGCGCGAGAGAAGGAGAAGAAGAAGAGGAGGAAGCAGGAGTTTGCCGGGAAAGAGAAGGGTGCCGGCGTCGTCGTCGTTGGCGGCGGCGGCGGAAAAAGCAGAGGAGGAGGAGGAGGCGGTGGCGGCGAAGACGGCGAAAAAGAAGGAGGAGAAGAAGACCGAGAAGGAGACGGCAAAGGCGAAAGAAGTGGAGAGGCGGCGGTGGTGGTCGGTGGTGGACAAGGTGGGGAGCATTAACAAGAAGGAATACAGAGGAAAGGCAGCTGTAGTAGGGGTACCGAAGAGACTACACAGTGCAGAAGCCGAGGTAGCGCACTGAGCCACGAGGGGCTATTCGAGCGAGAAGGGGAGGGTGACAAGAAGCACTGGCGGGGAGGGGACGAGGCCTTCGGGGGGCCGACCAACCAGACGGCCGATGATGTCATCGGAGGAGGAGACCGAGTGTTTCGCCCTCTACGGAGCAACCACGGAAAGCAAGCAACAGCAACTCTTGAAGAAGCAGAAGCGCACCAGACAGCGCGTGGACGCCGGCGAGCCGCGCAACAGCTACTCGAGTATACCGAACTTTAGCTCCCGGCCATCCTTCCTCGGTGGTGGTTTATACGGCTCGCTCTTCAGTGGTACCGGACCACCGTCGCATCAACAATCGCAACAACAGCAGCAACAGCCGCAGCAACACCACCAGTCACAATCGCAACAACAACAGCAACAGCTCCAGCAACAGGCTGGAGCGACTGGCAGCCAAAGTCATTTAGGTACAGCTACGACGGGTCCTACTACTCAGCAGCATTCCGCCCACGCGGCCTTCGGCTTCTTCGGGGCTCCGGGCTTCGGCCCCGCCAAGATGCTGAACGAGTTATTAGGAAGGCAGGTCAAACAAGCAAGTGACGCTGGCGGATCACCGCCAGAGGGCGGTCACGGGATGACCGGTGCCGGCATGGATACTGTTTCGAATTTGCAACCGGGCGCCGTAGTTAATTGTGATGATCCCGCTACGGCCGACCTCACGCAGCACATGTTACGCGACATGCTTCTGCAAGGGCGCAAACTCTCCGCTCTCGGCGTGCAGGAACAACCGAACAATAACAACAGTATACATAATAACAACAATAATAATACTACCGCGGAATTACTTAAATCACAGCATCAGCAGAGTCCCCAACAGCATCAACAACAAAACAGTGATAGTGCGCGCAGTGGAACAGTGCAGAGTGGCGGGGAGGAGAGTGGTGATGGTAATAACGTCGTGAATAGCGCGAATCACAGTGATCGTGATACCGTGATGCCGGGCGATGCTGAAGACAGCGCTGAGGATGCTGCTTCCGCGGCACGTGCGATGGAGGAGGCTTTTGCCGAAGCCGGTATGGAACCAGGAGCGAACTTAGATGGATCGGATTGCGAGCAAAGCCTACCTCCTAGCCCACCGGCACCTAGATCGGGCTCCGTTAAAGAAGAACTACAAGAGTCGCTGAATATGAAACGTAGCCCCAGTCATTCTCCTTGTCCGATCGTGCCAAAAACCGAAACGAACTCTCCAACGACAGAGATTAAACGCGCTCGTGTGGAGAACATCGTCAGCACGATGCGCAGTAGTCCGGCGCTTCAGCCGGCAACGGTAAATGGTTGCAAGAAGCGCAAGCTTTATCAACCGCAGCAACAGACGGTGCATCACGTTCTCCAGCATAGTGTCAATGATACCATGATGGACGACGATGACGAGAGCGAAGAGGAGGAGGACCCGGCAACGATCAGACAGAAACGGGAGGAGAAAGATAACTTGAAAATACAATTAAAAATGTTGCACGAGCAATTGGCGGAAATGCAACAAAAGTATATGGAACTCTCCAGTAGAATGGAGCCAGATACAAGTGAGAGCGGCGACGCGCCACCCAGTCCTCAACCCACTCATCAACCACAACCACCACCAAGACCGCCACGACCTCATCCACCGCCGTACACCAACGGCCTCCCGACCCTCCCACCTGATCACCCCCACGCAGCAGCTGCTGCTATGTATCACATGGGCCATAAACTTTATTTTGAACAACAACATGCTGCCCTTGAGAGAATGAAACAACATCAAGAAGCGGCTGTGCGGCAGCAGCAACAGCAACAACAGCAGCAGCAACAGCAGCAGCAGCAGCAGCAGCAACAACAGCAGCAGCAGCAGCAGCAGCAGCAACATCAACGACAGAGTTCGCCACCGCCACCAAGCCAACCTCAGCAACAGAGCCAGAACAACACTGGTCCTCCGACGCCGCAGACGCCGCAAATGCAAACAGCCAGTACGCCTATTCAACATAAAGACTTCCAAGAAAGGTTAAACGTCTTCAGGGGTGCCGCCGCAGCAGCCAGCTCGTCCGGTCCTCATATCACCGGTGCCGATTTGGAAGGCCTGGCGGATATCTTGAAGACGGAAATAACTTCTTCTTTAACAAATTTGATTGACAGCATAGTATCAAGGTTCGTGCAACAGAGGAGGTTTCTCGGTAAGCAAAACGAGGCAGCGCAGGCTGCTGCAGAGCAGCTCAATAAGGACCTTCTTTTGGCGAGCCAAATGCTCGAAAGAAAATCGCCCAGGACGAAAGTAGTTGATAGAGGAGCTCCACAACCACCCGGTGGCCCAAACGGGCCACGGGGGCCCCTCAACAGTGGGCCCCCTCCTCCACAACCCACGGGGTTTTCACAAATCGGGTCCATAGGTGGTGTACCCCATGGCCCTCATACTGGCCCCACGGAAAACAATCTTAACCAGATGAATCAGCTGCCCTCGCATGCAAGGCCGAGCGTTGGAATGTTTCAGACCCCAAAACCACCGACGATATACGCCATGGCCTCCATGCAAGCGCAGCAACAACAACAACACCAACAGCAACATCAACAACAACGCGAGCAACATCAAAGGGAGCAACAACAACGCGACCAATATTGCAATATGAGAGGTGACGAAAGAGAAAACAGGGACTCGGAACAAAATGAAGCTCTGTCACTCGTCATGACGCCGAAGAAAAAACGTCATAAGGTAAGCATTACAACTTGTCAGATTTAATATATATTGATATAAGTTAATATAAATTTATATATTTAGAATTATGATAATATTAATATAAATTGATTAAAATTAATATTAATTTTTAATTTTATAATTTTAATTTATATAAATTGTACACATTTATACATATATAAAAAAGATATTAACTTTGAGTCATTCATAATGTTTGAATAACTTTATTTTTTTAATATGATAATTTTAATATGTATAAATATATATATGTATGTATAAATTGTACAAATCTTTATATGTAAAAAGATATTAACTTCAAGTTGTTCATAATGTTCGAATAATGTTACGTAAATTGAAGTCACAATAAAGTTATAGCGAAAGTATTATAAAAGTATTATAAAAAATTCTGATACGAATTTGGATTGATGAGAATAAATATATTTAAATAAGAAAAATTATATATTCAGATTTTAGTACAGAAAAAATGTTACGATTGTCACAACCAGAAATAATGATAATTTTCCATCAATACATTTGGTTGTGATAACCGTAAGATGGACATATCATAACTGTTAAGATATAACATCTTACGATCATCTCAATCGTATTATATTACAGTTCTTATAACCAAAAAATGTATTGGTGACTTTTGATCGTGGCAATCATAGCTACTTTTTGCGTGAGTGCTTATATATTTCCACGTGAATTTATATATATAGCTGATTCTGTAAACCGTGCGCCGAAATTTAATACTCTTATATAAAGATATTTTTGACATAAAAAATTATTAAATTACTTGTCAAAATTAATAAGTAATATTACTACTCTGGTTCTGTTCATGATTGCGTTTCAAGATCGAAAAAGAATTAAGCATGGAAATATTTAAGCACTAAGATCCGTTTTGATCGAATATAAGATTTCTGTCATTCAATTAAAAAATATTACAATCTCTTAATTTTTATTCAATTAAAAAGTAGACTCTCGAAAATTTCAAATTACAAGAATAAAAAGGGCTAATGAGAGTAAATTCGCTGTTAATGGTGCGATATAAAAAGTATATTGTAGTAAATAAAAAACAACGAGAAAATTAATACAAAACTATACGTTTCGGCTTACATCCGAGCCATCTTCAGTAGTCAAGTCGCAAATAATTAAATTAATTTTTATTATTTTTATTCTTATATGCTTTTATAAAATAGTTATAAGTACAATTAATTTATATTAATTATGTGCAAATGATAATAAAAGTCTAACTAAAAAAAATACTAATTAGTACGGTTTACAGGTGACGGATACGAGAATTACTCCGAGAACGGTATCCCGAATCCTAGCGCAGGAGGGAAACGGATCTCAAGGAGGTAGTGATAGTCCCCCGCCTCCTCCACCACCGAGACCCTACCATGCGCCACCGATGCTGCCGGTGTCCCTGCCAACCAGTGTAGCGATACCAAATCCAAGCCTCCACGAGAGTCAGGTGTTCTCGCCCTATTCGCCGTTTTTCAACCCACACGCGAGTCATCCTGGTCAAGTACCACCTCCGGGGCCACATCATTTACCCGCGAGTCCTCCGGGTGGAGGTGTAGAACTCAGGGATTCCCCTCCACTGCCCCATCCGCCAGCTATGTTGCATCCAGCTTTGTTGGCGGCAGCCCAGCACGGCAGTCCGGACTACGGACACCTTAGGATGGACAGCAATGACCGAGCTAGCGACTGTAATTCCGGCGACATCAGCTACGATGGAATTCAGCCTACAATATCCTTTGCTAATACTCATATGCTAAAAAGCAAATTTAGTAATATAATGCTCTGCAATTTTATAGAATTTTACAAAATTCTATAAAATTTTACAAAAGTTTCTTCAGATAATATTTGTAAGAGAGAGAATTTTGATATATATTTATTATAATTAAAACGCGCAAACAAAATGGATATTAATCATTCATCTCTATAGATAATATTAATATTTAAAATGAAAGAGTATTATCTGTTAAAATGAAAAAATGTTATCTGAAGATTAATTCGTGTGTCGAAAAGAATTTAGAAATACCAGAGAAAACAGTTAAGATACTCAGGGATATTTTATGACATAGAGGAGAAACGAAACTCGCGCGCGAAAAGTTTAGGTTGTAGCGGTGAGTTTTTTGAGAGAGAAAAAGCCGGCAAAATGGCTCGCTCGCTTGTAAGGCGGCTCGAGCGAGGAAGCTCGGACGAATGTTAGATTAGTTTGGTACGGAGTTAGCCTAATGTTGGCTGCACCTACGAGTAGAGTTTGTCCAGCAACAACGCATCGAACCGAAAGTTCTTTGCCTACCTCGGCCCACCCTCGGCCTGCAGTCTCACCCAACTTCGCAAGCCAATAATCTGTCCCGCAATTTCGCAATTCAGCCTGAGCATTTCGCGAACTCTACATTTCGAGCGTCTCCTCGGTTTATCCTAGCTAGGCTACTTTTGCTGATCTCGACGATACGAGCCTTTGTAAAGCTATACTTCTAAGCATCGATTTTTAACCTCAATTTTTCATCTCATATTCCGATGTGCGAAAGAAAGATGTTTCATTTGTTATATTTATATCACATTTTAGTACGGAAGCACTTGATAGAGTATCATACATAATAGAACAAAAATATTATTAGAACTAAAAATCGAGCTTATTAGAAACAAATTTGCGATGTTTGATCAATCGCATTTTTTGCTATTTTTCAGTAATTTATCGCAATTTTTAAATATTCATAAATCATGATAAATGTTTAATATAATATGTTTAATATACATGACATAGCAATTAATAATAAAAATTTATAGATTAATGTGGCAAATAATTCTTTAGATTCGCTGAATGATTTGAGAAACATTATAAATTTGTAACAATTAAAAGGAGCTCATATTTGTGAAATATTCGCGTGTCCAAATTTTATTAAAAAATGTTCTTGACCTTTTCCAAATTGATTAAAATAGCCGCGATTGCATCCGGTTAAAGTGCACTCTTAGTATCGTCAGAAAATGATCATCGAACGGTTCACCAGCTCGATTATCGTGCATGATCCACCCCGTCGCGGCTTGCTTCTGAGTTACCGAAAGAGCGTGTAGAAATCCGGTGGCTTGCGAATCGAGAGTTCGCCTCGGTGCAGCGAGGAAAAAAAGGCGAGTGTCGCGCGGGTTCGTGTGAGCGCCGATCGTCCGATGCAATGTCGGAACTGCATCGGCGTGTTGGACCGGGTCGCTCGATCGGGTAGCGTGCCGTTCTTTGCCGCCTTTTTAGTCGGCCTTTGATGTAAAATCAATGGCGCATTTTTTTCACTCCCTCCTCTCTCTTGGGGTAGGTCGAGCGCGTTGTGCATCGCCGTGACACGATCTGCTGTTCCGCGCTCCTCCGGACGCACCATCCTAGTCTCATCGCGGTTCTCGCTGGCATTTGATGCATCCGAATTCATTTTGTTGCCTACGCCCTCTTTCTCTTTACTTTTCCTTCTTTTTTTTTCTTTTCGACAAAATCTATCCCAAATTTTTTAGCTCGAGATTAATGCGAGATTATGTGCTGATACTTCACATTTATAATATCGAGTATAAGGTTACACGTTTTAAGTAAATCAAATTGCAAGAGCAATGGCATAGCAGAGTCGCGCGAATTAATCGAATAAGATTGCGATGAAACCACATGTAGAGATCCTATTACCAATATAAGGAGTCGGTAAGGCTTCTGCTGAGGATACGGCCAATCGTAGATCAACTTCCCAGTAAGAACCCTTCTATCTCTCATCTACCCTTGCGATAATCGCAATTTGTACGATTTCTGATCCGATTCGATACGCAAGAAAACACGACTATATTTGAGATACTCAGACGTCCGAGAAACGAATCGACTTTCTCTCTCCGGCACTTTTCTCTTCTAGCTTAATCCTTTTTTCATTGCGAGGAACTCTTCTTCTTCACATTTCTCTTGTATTTCTATATGTTTATATATATTCATGTACATTGCAAAATGGTATATCCTTAACCGCGGTGAACTCGTCGACGCTGACGCCGATGCATCTGAGGAAGGCGAAGCTGATGTTCTTCTGGGTCAGGTACCCATCCTCGGCCGTCCTTAAGATGTACTTCCCCGACATCAAGTTTAATAAAAACAATACAGCGCAGCTGGTCAAGTGGTTCTCCAACTTCCGGTGAGTAATGTATATTATTCTGAATTTATAATAACACAAAGTCTTTCTAAATTGTGCATCATTTTACGCGAGCGATTGTCTCTCCAGCAATATTCTATATAGTTCTCGTTTTCAAATAGCGCGTACGCGAGAAATCAAAATCTTAAAAATATCTTATCACGAGATACGTTCGTATTCAAGAGAGGTATTTTTATAGACACTTTAATGTTTCAATAAACGAATATATGATAAAGCGCATTCTCTTCCAAACTGAAATTATTTATCTATCCAGATTGAAATCTTGATGTATGCAATTGATTCGCGAACGTCATTCCGATCTTAAATTGAGGATTGCTTTCGATGCGGTTACTGCTATTGAACGGATAACCAAATTCACAAGAGCGAGTAGACGATCATGTAGAAAATCTCAAGGATTTAGTGGACAGCCGTGTCGCCACACCCCCTACATAACCTCGGACATTTTCGATCTCGTGCGGTACTCCCTGGAAAGAATGAAATCGTGGAAGACGTTTCTGATAACAGAGGCGCGTTTCGTGTATGCAAACGAGAACGAGGTTTTCGAGGGATCGACCACTCCCTTTGCAGAAGCGGTCAGAGCCCAAGAGACGAGAGTCACGATGGGTGTGTCCGAATCTTAATTACCCTCTCTCGTAGAGCAGCTGGGGATAAGTAACGCTACCTACATAGCATCAGGTATAGAAGCGTAGGAGGCCGGTAGGTACCGACGCATACTGTCCGGCAGGCATTAGTCTGATTATAATTAGGCTGAGTACAGTACAGATCCAAGATACAAGGTGGTCGAAGGCGGATCGCGCGCGTGCCCTCGTCGTTACATTATTACCGCTTTCTTATCGCGAGATATGTCCACTCTCGTGAAAATCGTAAGTCCTTCGCGCGGTGGCATCGTGTGCTGCTTTCATAATTACGGCATGGAGACACCACGTGTCTGGGATATGCTCTAAATGAAAAATGCATATGCGATGATAAATAAAACGTTAACGAGCAAGCGCTTAGTTGTGCCGAGTAGTTGAGTTAATTACAATATCTTGTATTGCGTACCGTCAGCCGACTGAAGCGTTTCTAGAGTAACTTTTACTGTCACTTTCATTTTAATGTCGTTTGGCTTCAAGTAAGTACGCGGAGTACGAATCGTACGGTTGTACCAAGATAATCAAGCGGGATATCATACACGTGAAATTGCGAAAACAAAAAATAGAAGGATTCTGTTCATTTTGATAACGACGCGAACATCGTTGTTAATTATCAGTCTATTGTTCTGTGCAACTTTATTCAGTGGGCCTATCCAAAAAGAGTAAAATCGCGGATAAAAGAGCAAGTACGTGGTCTGTTTGCGAAACTTCCAAATGTCCGGTGAAATTGCACGCTCGTATTTCACGGTACGCACAAAGCTAATTACCGCTTCGACATATTTCGGTACATTTGGCCCGAGGGTTTTTTTTGCCCCCTCGCCATTCCATCCACCTACTCGCTAGTATCTCCAAAGTCTTTCTTAATGAGATTTGTTGTGTCTTGCACTTTAAAACTCCCTGTAGACTAAAATTTTCGTAAGCAAACCGAATAGTTACTTCTTTATTAATTTAAAAATCAAAAATCCAAAAAATCATACGTTTCAAGTGGTATGTTGAATAGCGTAATGTGACTTGCTTGTATCGATATATTATAACTGTGAACATGCTTTCTAAATATATAGAACATGTTAGTCATATCATGATATGATCAATAGTTTCCATTTATTTTTCTTGTATAAGATATATCTGTCGATATATATTAATTTTTGAAAGTACATATTGATAATTTATAGTAATATTCTATTTCTGTTTTTTATTTATTAAAAAGACAAGATTTTAATTTATATTATTTTCCTAATAAGAGAGTTTTAAAACAATTCGGGAGAGTTCTTTATAATTTCCTATTATATTTATTCCTATAATCAAAATGGCATGAGACGTGCTTGAAAATTTTCTTAAGAAAAGTTAATTAAAAGAAATTTCGAAGATGTCTATTTTATTTCACTAGTCTCTGCATGGAATTCTTTCTTTTCCCAGCTAATCACGTAAAGGTTTGTCCCGTAACTTTTTCCTTCTTTTTCTCTACCAGCCGTTGTCGCGCGTGCTCGATCTGATAGCCTAATGCACGGCTTCCTATGCGGAAATGCCTCGCTACATTATTCTACGCTCCTACGTGCGCGGTCGATCCTCCACCCCTTTTCCCACCCTAGATCGTCGTTGTACTTTTGTCACGAGAATGGGCCGAGACCATCGTCGCTGCCACCTGCTATGTCGATTATTATATCGTTGTCTCGTTCCCTCTATAAAATATACAAATCGTCGATTAGATGGCTAAGCGCGTTCTTAGTGATTGATCAATCTCCAACTATTGATTCATTGATATTAAAGGCACGATAAATACAACAAAGGAAAAAAGAGCGCAAAAATTCTATTTTTTTCCTCCGATAATGTAACACGAATGTTGTTTCCCCCTAGTTACAATATTTATGGATATTCCTCGCGTACGGTTGTTGGCAAAGTTTTTATAAAAGGAAGCAATGAAATTAGTTATCGCCGTCCTGGTATTTAACTAAAAATACAAGGGGCATACTTATCAGAAAATACTGAGAATACCTGACATAATATAGTAAACGTGATTTTTATAAATAGGGTCATATATTAATGACAACGCATATAACAACAATTTCTGTAATCATAACATTTTCTTCAATGATATCATTTATCATTGTACATCCCTCGACGCAATAGATGTCGGAGAAAATCAGAGAAGAGACAGATAAAAAGAAAGAGAGAGAGGCAAAGAAGAATAGAGCGAGAAGTAGAGTGATAGAAAAAGAGCGGCAACGAGAGACGGTGGCCGAGCACAAAGCGATCGTTCGCACCCTATTTTCTCACGCTCACGCTCGCGTCGAATCGAAAGCACGTCCGATATCTTACGGAGACTCGTTGACGTCGCGCGTACATCATCGGACCTGCTTATACCGACGATATTGACAGCCTTCGTTCGATGAAGCACGCCGTGGGGGATGATTGGGGTCGTCTACGATCCAGGGTACAATGTGTGCGCGTGTTCACGTCTGCGGTGTGTGTGCGCGCGTGTACCCGTCTCTATCACCTCGCATCTCTCCCTGTCCGTCCATCCGTCCGTCTGTCTGTCGGTCGACCGATCGGTCGGTTCATTCCTACTCTCCACCCCCGCGAACGCGAAAAAGAGAAAGAGAGAGAGAGAGAGAGAGAGAGAGAAAGAGAGATGTGCGGGTGGACTCGGGTTCGTTCGTTATCAGATCCTACGGTAGGACACGCGACTGAGGTAGCAGATCCTATCTGCAGGACGGAAGAAATTTTATGTCGTATAATGGACAACGAACACACACACACGACACGGTTCTAACCGGACGGTGAATCTACTTCGCGCGAAAAACCCGGATCACCTCGGAACGTGTACGAGCAACGATTTTCCACTTTTAGATGGTGCGCGCATCGTTCATTTTTACAAGTTCTGCACTTGACACTTAATTGAAAATTTCTTCACCTTCGTAACATAAAATTTAGTTTTTGAGGAATAATTGCTTCAAAAGAAGTTACTTTTTTATTGCGATATCTCTGATAAATAACTGTAAATATTTCATTCATCTGCCGAGCATTTTCCGATTTATTCGATTATATGCTAAAATACTTTTTTCGTATCGTTTATGGACCGTGAATTGAGAAGAAATTTATAAACGGAATTTAATCTGGTTAACTATATAAATAGCATCTCTTCGGGGAAACTGTAAAGCGGAGACTGCGGAGAGTAGCAATATCTTCGATAAAGAGGCTTCCAAGTGGTGGCGGTTGACGAGAAAACGCGAGCTAATAGCTCGGCCACGGACAGAATAACATAATGTTGCGGGAAGAGTGAAGAAGACAGCGCGAGAGGGAGAAAGTACACGATATAAATGAAGAATCGAAAGCTCTCGAGTGTCGAATAATAAAGTCCACGATAAATTTACCCAGTCACGCTTTCAAGGGGTTGCTTATCGCCGCGAAATACTCAATAATTCTCTTAAAGGGAGCACGGCTGGCTCCACGTGTTCTTTCTTTCTCTAATTTCTTCTTCGACTCACTCTTATCAGCCGACAATCGTTTCGTAGGCGGACATTACCGTGTCGCTGCTCGTCTGTGGAGCGTACGTCGTAGCGTGGTCGGGGTAATGACGCGGTAATTTTCTAAACACAAATTTCCTTTTTCAACCCTTATCTTGCCCGTCGGACACGTGACCGGTCGTTAGCGTTCGTTTTCCTCCTTCGTGCGGTCTGTCCGCGCGTTCTTAGTAACAACCGGCTACCCCGACATGCACCTCTCCCACGCTTCCAAGTAAAACGCACTTTGCTTATATCAAGCATGATCTTCTCACCTAGTGACATGCTATTATCGAGAGGCCCCCGCATTAAAAATTTTTACTTATTTATTACGTAGTATGTGCGATCAACAATTAGAATAATTATAAGTACACAAAATAAGAAGATAATATTAAATTTCTAGTTATGAGTGAATGCGTATTGGTCGTTAAAATAATATGCTCATAACAGTCAAATTTATTTTCAATATATAATAGATTAATATACAAAAAAATTTAACTTTTTTCTAAATATTTGATCGCTCTATCATGTATATTTAAACACACAAACACATACAGAAATGAAAAAAACACTATATGTCTTCCATGTGATTACTATCATCTCTTTACGATTGATATAAAGGATTAGATTAATATCTGAGATTTTGCTGAGGCAACTACATCTTTTCCATTTGAGAAATTTTGCCAGGTATCATTAAATGATAATCTCGTGGCAAATCGACAAATATGCGAGGTCCGAATTTTCGACAACTTCTGTACACTTAGCTAAATAATTCCAGCACTACGCACCTCGCATAATCGTTCGAAAAGGAAAGTCAGAAAAGGAAGAAGCTAATCGAGCGAGAGCGAAA